ACAGAGAGTGATAAAGATGATGTTGATGATACCGCAAGTGTCAGCTCTGATAATTCAAGTGTCACTTCTTTGGAGCCATATGATCTAATGGATGATGACAAGGATTTAGGGAAACAATTTACACATTTGGTGGATGTTGTTGGAGCTCTTCGGAAATCCGATGATGCTGATGGGGTACGTAGCTAGAGAGAATTGTCTGGGACATTAACGTGATGATGCTGATATTCTTTTATTAAAAAGACACAAAATAGTAATCTTTGTGTATATTACGTGTTACAGGTGGAGAAAGCAATATATGTTGCAGAAAAACTTGTCCGAGCATCACCTGATGAATTGACTCATATAGCTGGTGACCTTGCTCGAACTCTGGTACAGGTTCGCTGCTCTGATATAACAATTGAAGGTGAAGAAGATTCAGCAGAAGAGAAGCGGCAAAGAGCTCTAATTGCGTTGCTCGTGACCCGTCCATTTGAATCCCTTGAAACTCTAAACAATATTTTGTATTCGCCTAATGTAGATGTAAGTCAGCGCATAATGATACTTGATGTCATGTCTGAAGCAGCTCGGGAGCTTGCTAATTCCAAGACCCTGAAACCTAAACATGAAGCACGGGGACCTCTGATATCAAATATCTCAGATCCTCAACCCTGGTATTTGCCTAGCAATGCGAGTACTCCATGGAAAAAGGTCCCCGAGACGGGATCTTTTCATCTGAACTGGGCCAATCGATTTGAGAGAGAGCTACAGTCAAAGCCTGGACAGACGAAGAAAGGAAAATCTCGAAGGTGGAGCCTCAAATCAGCAGACAGAGATCAAAACAGTACTGACTGGTCTCAGAATAAATTTCCACTATATGCAGCAGCATTTATGCTTCCAGCCATGAAAGAGTTTGACAAGAAACGACATGGTGTTGACTTACTTGGCAGGGACTTTGTTGTCCTTGGGAAACTTGTTCACATGCTCGGCGTCTGTATACAGTGTGCATCGATGCATCCAGAAGCATCTGCGTTAGCTATCTCTCTTCTAGATATGTTACAACGAAGGTACATAATCACTTTTTATATTATAGATCTTATATCCAAGCTTTTGCATATATACTGAATATTTGTATACTTGACAAACTCAATACAGGGAAGTATGCAATCACCCCGAAGCCTATGTCCGAAGAGCAGTCCTTTTTGCAGCCTCTTCTGTTTTGGTTGCTCTTCACCCGTCTTACATAGTCTCAACCTTGGTTGAAGGAAATCTTGATCTTTCCAGAGCTCTTGAATGGATCAGAACGTGGGCTCTTCAAATAGCTGACTCAGACATTGACCGAGACTGTTACACTGTAAGTCATACATTCCCCAAGGGCCAGCCCGGATCCATCTCTTATTAGATTTTGATTATAGCTTAAGGAAATAAAGAGTCTGCGGTTCTTGATTAGCTTACAACGTGATTGAAAGTTACAATTTAGCTTGTGTGTTTTGCTTTGTTATGATTGAAAGTTACAATTTAGCTTATGTGTTTTGCTGTGTTATGTTGTGTTAGATGGCTTTGTCATGTCTCCAACTCCATGCCGAGATGGCTCTTCAAACTTCCCGAGCTTTAGAATCTACCGGCGGAAGTAGCAGCAGCAGCACTGGACGGATAAACATAAGTCTACCTTCTGGTATCTCTAAGCTGACATCAATCAAACTTCCTTCTTCAAATGTTCATCTCTAGAAACTTCGTTCCCATTAATTCGGCTCTAGTCACCTCTGTAGAGTAACATTTCTTCACTAAAGAATTCATGTGTTAATAGATTTTTAATATCTATTACAAAGTTTTGAGATTTGATAAGTGGCCTTGTTCGTGATTAGTGATTACAGAGCCAGAAACCAAATTGATCTCTCTAATCATGAGCGAAAAACAGATTTAACAAATCCAATTGAGCAGCTGACGATTATTCAACTTTAGATACGATTACAGATGCTAAAAAGAGATACTTTTCATCTTCCAAAGGTTCAGAAAAATTCCATTCAGATTTCTGAACTAGTCAATGATGAAGGGAAAAATCAATTGGTTGCCACTAAACATGATTAACAACAGGCAGCCCCTGAGAAAAACCAGAACAACAGTTCGGTAGATAAATCAAAGAACCCGTAAAAAGAAAGAATTCTACGCATAGAAGAAGAAAACTCTTAGAGATTCCATACCAACTAATAACTTAATCAGAATCTCTTTACCCTTTTGAATCTTTCCAAGTTCACTTCCAAGCTGGACCTAATCTTCTGCGCTATGCTGATGTGTTAAAGCCATTAAAAGTTATCACTTTCGTCAATGAATGGTTCCCAAAGAATGAAGCGTCTCACAGAACTCTTCCAACTCTTTATGGCTAAACCAATCCTCTTTCATCTGCAAATTTTAAGCGAAACCCGGGCGGGCATTTCAAGATTCACCACAAACAAAAAGCGTGAACAACGATAAAATGTTTGTTGAATGATACTTACAAAATATGGCATATCATCGACGCTGAAGTTCTCAGGGGCATCTTCTATGAACCGCTGAATGTAGTAGAGGACAAAGCTTCCACATTCCACATCATTTGTCTGCTGTGGAACCTGAAATTATGATACGCCGATCCAATTCTGAGATATAAGAATCAAGAAATATAAATAACTTGGTAGATGCACTCAATTACCACTGGCACATGGAACGGGATTTCATCAACCAGTCTTGGGTCTTCAGTTCTTCCCTCGGCTCTATATATGTCCAACACAAACCTGAAATCGAAGAAGAAGCACAAACATATTATCACACGAGCTTTTACACAAAAATATCATTCTTCTTTACTGATGATTGAAAAAGAATAAAGAGAGAGTACTCGCTTTCTTATATCTGGTTCAAGCCGCTGTGAAGAGTCAGTTTTTTGTAGTGAATCAAGAAACAGCATGCATGTGTTATCAGAATCAAGATCCTCCCCAAAATTGCAAAAGATCAACAAAGTCCAATGGCTCCTGGAGGAATAAAAGAAAAATAAACATAAATAGTTACATTCGAAACCATTTCAAGAACGAACATAAATGGCAAAACGAACTAACCAGTAGACGATAGGAAGAAAAACGTATTTCTTCGAGAAGATCTGCTTTGCCTTAATGGAATCGAAAACACTGCTTCTAATGTTATGGTTTTCGCTTTTGTACATACTGAACCATAGACAATCTAAGTAGACAAAAGAGTTCTTTTTCTCATCAGAGAAGCCACTCCAGACATCCCTATTCACATTACTCAAAAACGTTACCAAACCAATTAACCAACACAAATAGAATCACAACAAGCACAATTCCTTCTTTTTTTCGAGTAAAAAGAGATATTGCTTACTCTAGGTAACCTACAAATGCTTTAGAATTAAGTTTTTTCCGTAGCTTGGAGGCTAAATACTTGCACTTGATTCTTCTTTCTGACCTCCCACGGCGTGTGCATTCGTCATAGAAACAAGGAGCACTCAATTTGAATATCTCCAACTCCTTGGCTCGCTTCGGTTTCGAACCACACTTATTCAAGGCAGCAGCAATATGCTTCCAACACGTCCTGTGGTGTAAAAACTCATCTTCCTCACAATCTGTAAAATTATAGACATGTTGATCAAACTTGAAAGTTAGCCTCTTCCAGAGCTAAAATTGAAACCCAAAAACTTCACAAACTACAAAACCATAACTAAGTATATATATACACATTTCAAGAACCATATTATCATAAAATCCCAAATTTACAAAGAGACACATGATATATACAAAGATAAGCATCACCACGACACAGGAATAGAAACAGTCTCGTCACTATGAAAATTCCAGAAAGGAAAAAAACACAAACTTTAATCGAATCCGCAAAACCCTAATCCCCAAAATTGCGGAAACCAAGAAATTAAAAATCTTTCAAAAACCCCAGAAAAAAAACAAAAAAAATTGAATAAAAATCGAGAAGGGAATTGGAATTTACCATCAATAATAGTAACACGAACAGGACTGGTGACGTATTTACTATTAGTATTTCGAACACGATTACTTCGTCTTCTTGACATTGAAATTTGGTAGAGAGAGCTCTGAGTGTTTCTCTTCTCTTGCTATTTATTTTCCCTCTTCTTGTAAACTTTTTGTTTCGCTTAATATTATGTAAAGGCTCTTTTAGCCGTTGATTTTACTTACTTTTTTAATAGTCAACGATTCAATGGTCAAGATGATTTAATGTCTCTTTGGTTTCTGTAGAGATAATTTATTGAACCCTTTCTTTAGGTGCTTTGGGAAAATATAGAATCAAACACTTATTGTAAATGTAATTCTCTTTTTTCAAAAAACTTTGGTAGTATATTTTGTTTTGCCATATAACCATTTTCTTTCTATTTATTTGTACCAACTAGCTAGAACACTCAAAAGTAAACCAAGCAACATCTTCTTTCTCTTTTCATTAGAAACGAATAGTAAACAAGTCAAAGTATTGTAAAACCCTATTATAGGGAAATTGCAAGATATGTACTCAAAAGATCAAGAAATTAACTGACACATATTGTCACTATTTGGCCATCATTGTAGCTGTGATATATACTCTTTTACCCCTATTCTTTTAGCAAATCCAATTCATGACAAAAAAACAAAAAAAAAAACACTAGAAAAAAACAAAAGTTTTATTGAAGCCATTGCAGAAGATTGATGACGCTGGAGCTTCTTCATCTATGGAGCTCGATTCGGCGGTGACAAATGACGTTGGTGATACTAGAGTTTCTCAGAGTGAGAGATCAGAGAAAAATGGTGTCGTAGGGAGTGAGGAAGAAGATGATAATGAGTGAAACAAAATCTAAGATTAAAAGCCAAGATATTTTAATTGATGAGGGTGATGAGATTTCTCAGCTTAAAGAAGAAAAAGAAGAAGATGATTGCTCCGATGATCAATCTAGTGAACTTGATTCTGAATTTGATGAGAAGGAATTGGATTCAGATTTGAAGGAAGAGAAACGAGGAGTATCTGTTTACAAATCTCTCTCATCTGAGTTTGATGATTATGTTGTGAATGAGAAAATGGGTTCTGGAGTTTTGAGGGCATTGAGTTATGGGTTTGAAGTTGGAGATTTGGTTTGGGGTAAGGTAAAGTCTTATGGCCTGGTCATATATTTAATGAAGCTTTTGCGTCTCCTTATGTTCGTCGTATGAGGAGGATTGATCTTGTTATTGTTGCGTTTTCAGGGATAGTAGTTATGGTAGGTTTGATCCTGCTGAGCTTATTCCTTTCCTTTCGAACCAAATTTAGAATAGAAATCGCAACAGACTGTTTTAAAGAATTTTGTGAGAGGTGTGGAAGAAGCCATGGATGAGGCGATCGAGTAGAAGGTCAGCTCTTGGTTACACGTTAATATAAATATTACCATGTTCAAACAAATGTTATTCGAATATTTAATATGTTAGCACGTTATCATTCTATATAACATGCTATTATAATTGTTATCATGTTAATTATGTAAGAGAAAGACTAATTTTTTTTATTGAACTGATATTTACATAAATATAAAATACTGATTCCCAAATTAAAATCGACAACCATGCATTTAACACATAATATGTAAATTTATTGCGATACCATATGTTTTAGCATGTTAAGTAAACAGTTATACACTAAAATTATAAATGTTTAACAGCGTTATCTTGAGTCAGTACACTAACGAGTTTCCTATAGTGTAGGGGCATTTCGTCATATTGATTTTGCAAAAAAAAAACCACCTAAATAAATGGTCTTCATAGATTCTTAATTATCTGCTCCTCCAGGTATATATATTTCATTCACCCAATATTATATCTAAACTCCTGTTATGTCGGGGATCCGATACAGCCATTGTGGGAGACAGAACAAGCAACATCGTATTTTTTGGATGATTTTCATAACAACTGGACAATTAACATATTTTATAATGTAAGTCTGGTCGTTATATTCTATTTGATTGTGGATCACAAAGTTTCCATTGAGTAAGTTAAAAAATAGCAAACTTTGGTGTTTCCAACTCCAAAGGTATACTATATTAGCATCAAAAGGGTTAATCGCCAGCAGTAAATATTCGAAACCGGTCTCAATAAAAGTCGGGGAGATCTCAGATACTAATTGCCATCTCCACTCTTTAGCCTCCATACACATAACTTATCATCTAAACCTTCATCAGAGATTATGTTCATATACATGAGAAACCCTTGACTAGTTGTGCATGTTCTTATGAATTTGGGATGCTTTTCTAAATCAGGGAAAGGAGTAACACGACATCTATAGGAACTCGTTCCTATATCGTAAAAATCGATGGATACAACAACTTCTGTATCCTCACTATTGCGAATGAGCCAATGAAGATTTTCGTTTAAGCTAATGGGATGGTGAAAATCACGATTGAACGAAAAGAGAAAGGAAAATGGACGGTGTTGAGACTCCACAACTGTGTCTCGGATGAATATATCAGAAAAGTTATTTTCGTTATTATGGGACCTCTTTGCTTTCCATCAAACATAACAACTTTGTAACCCAAAACGACGCCGTTCTTAGTTTGTGTTACTATTTCCAAGGGACAGAAAAAATCATGCAGAAGAGCACGAGGAGTGATCTCTAAGCATTGATGTGAAATTGGATTAGCCAGGTATAACAATTGATCCCCGAGGATAGACACGACATCAATCAAAAGAAACCCAATATCGGTGTTGTAAGCAACAACGTTGGCTTATCGGTATTTGTTCATTTGAGTTTCAAATTTATCAGTTATGAAAGACGAGATGTAAGAGCCTATGGTACGGTTAAGTCCCCAAGTGTCGCATCTATAATGAGCCACCACTTCTGTCTTGTAATACCTACACATGAGCGACCATGAAGAAGAATGGTGCAGAGACATGAACATGACACGGAAATGTGGAGACTCGATAATAAATTTCCACTGCTTACAAACCAGTTTAGAAGTTGTGATAATTTTTAGTGGTAATTGTGCAAATATAATTGTCCATAGATCATATGTGAAGAAATCCATATTCTTAGCATCTCCAATGGTTTTAACCCCATGAAGGGTTCTCAGAATTTTTTAAGAATAAATTTAGCCTTTCTCAAATTTAAGTACTAGCATAGGAGCTTTTAAGTTTTGTGTCCTCCAATGGTTAGAACCACCCATGGGGTTCTTTAGAAAAAAATTCAAATTTTGCAAAACAATACATGGTTCTTCTCTTTTGTGTTCTTGTACAAGTCCCATATATGGTAAACATCATCTCTCTCCCTGCTTCACCATATAGCTTTATGAGTCTCTCGTAAGACTTTGGATCATTCAATTCATCTGTTTTACGAAGCATCTCTCTCGCCTTTCCCTTAGAACCATCTCTTAGATAAGCCTTTGCAATGTCAAGCATTGTGAGCCACTCAAACGTTGTAATTGCATTCCAGAATCAACTCAACATCAACAACGCTCGTCTTTAGCTAGAATCACCCAAAAAAAAAATGATGAACACACTTACACAATCTCTGATACCAACTACGAAGTAAGGACATTAACCAATCCAAAGCATCATTTTTTTTGGAACCAGTCATGATTAGAGACGCCAATCGTTGTAAGCATGACAATGCCCCCACAAAGCTTAAGTAACAGCCCACAAAGGGCCTCCCACAATATGAAACCAAACAATCCCACATCATTCATACATGAAAAGCTACACTCTTTTTATAAACAATCAAATTGATATGAATACTCTCCATAAAATTAGACATTTCTAAGAACTGATTCGATACCCAACTTCCAATTATACACGAAATTGAACGTCTAATTGGCGACAAATCTAGACGAATGAAACAAAAATTTCAACAGGAACAAAATGAAATCAAAAACGAATTGGATCGACTCGATAGCTGAAACGAATTGGATCGACTCACAATCCCCATCGCATTCTAGGAGTATCTACCACAAGGAACAGACAATTCACCACAACGTAATCAAAGTTCTTTAGATGTCTAACCTCTTCACGAACTTGACGAAGCTTGTTGATCACTGCGTCTATGCAAACTCCGCTCGGACCACTGATAACGATGACGATCTCAGTCGGCGGTGGGATAATTGGATCGGCGGTGGAAGAAGAACCCAATTGAAATTCTAGAGAACGAAGCGATGGTTTGGTGGGAGATTGGATTGGGGACAAAACAGATAGAATTGGGTCTTCGATTTGGTAAAACGTCGAGAGAGACGACAGAGAGCCGGTTCCCAAAACTCTCTCCAGAGAGCCGGTTCTCCTTATAATTTTGGGTTTTGATTTATTTTTATTAACATTTAACCAGAGAACCCCTTCCCAAACTAACTAAAACCTCCCATTGGAGATGGCCTTATTCATCTGTTTTATTGGGATTTACTTTGGTGTATATAAATACTGAATTTCACATAAATTTAGCTTTTTCTGATGAATCTACATAATATAATGGTATGTAAAAAAGTAGATTATAAATATTAATATATGTACATTATATTACTTATTTTATAAAAGTAATAATCATTAAGAGATTTTATCAAATTATATATTTTGAAGTTATTCAATATTGTAATAATTTGTTAAAACAAGTTCATTAATATCTTAAACAATATTTACATTTATTTTTATCTATTAATACTAGATTTGATGGAAATTTTCTAATTTTAGTGTAGAAGTTATTTTGGTCGGATATAGAGGTTAATAATAATGAAAACGTGGTTAATGATTAATCAAAATAAGAGCGAAGGGCCCAGTATAATAGCATTTATTTGGGCCGATGTTGGTCTCGGCTTTAAAGGAAACTGTCCGACCCGACCCGACATGGTATGATCTTCCTGTCAAGCGGTTCCCGCTCTTTTTTTTATCAATCGAGGCGCCAAAACAAAAATTGATTATTTTGTTGTCATTTTTGGATTTTCGACACAAAAGAAGACGATCACAGATCTAATCGAATTGAGAAAAAGAGATAAGAATGTTTGGGAGGCTGAGACCACCGCCGTCGCCGCCGGATTGTCTGGAGAGATATCCGGCGAAGATCATCAAAGACGATCCTCTCTCCGTCTACGGTATAAATTCACACTCTTTCCAATATCATTTGATTTGATTGACCAATAAAAACTCTCGATTTCAAGATCCTGGAAAATGAAATCAAGAGGAATCGTAGGTTTTTTTTTTTGAACAAGAGGAATCGTAGATTCAGAGTTCATGAGAGTCGTGAGAAATCTCTAGGTTTTGAAATCCTTGGTTTATTTTGATGGCATTATAGAGTCAACACTGTTGAAGCTTAAGCAAGGGTCAACAAGACTGGACACTACTTCATCAGAAACAGAAGGTGAAGAGAATCTGCCATCATCACCGTCTCATGTCTTCTCTTCGGATACACAAGGAGACACTCATGATATGACTCTGTGCAATGGCTCTGATGCAATGGCTATAGACTCATGTGAAAGCTCGAAACAGCTAAAGAACAAGAACCCATCAGTACTATCCATGTTTAGCAAGTACAAGAATCAAGCTCAAGCACGAAACATGAAGACAGAGACTCATAATGATTTGTAAACACATAACTCAAGTTCATGTGTTTAACTAGACAACTCTGTTTGTAAGGAGTCTATAGAAAATATGTAATTTTTTCAATGTGCAATTCATGCAATTAGAACCTCTTGAATTTGAACCAAAGTTCTTGCATAATCAAGTACGATTTAAATCAACTGATGACAGTCATGCATTGCTTCTTATCGAAGAAAGATGTTGAGCTAATTTGAATTAGTATGGGTCTAACTGTTAAATTAACAACACTTGGGGTCAAAATAAAAATATTGGATAAATATGGGGGTTCATAAAATAAACTTAACCTTTCTTCTTCACTGTAAAATGAAATAAAGCTTATCCACACTCTCAACTTCTTCACTCGCTTAAACCCTCCAAAACCCTGAAGAGGTGCGAATGAATCATGCAGATTTGCCAAACCAAGCTCAATTTCACTTTCCCTAATCCCACAAACCCTAATTTCTGCAAACCCAAATCTCTCTCCGCCGGATTTCAATGGCTTCAACCTCGTCGTAGCACCTTACCGCCTTGCCGTGGATTCAGCTCCGATGAATTCCCTGTCGACGAAACCTTCCTCGAGAAATTCGGACCGAAGGACAAAGATACAGAAGATGAAGCTCGTAGACGTAACTGGATCGAACGTGGTTGGGCTCCATGGGAAGAGATTCTCACACCAGAAGCTGATTTCGCTCGTAAATCGCTTAACGAAGGTGAAGAAGTTCCGCTTCAATCGCCGGAAGCGATCGAAGCGTTTAAGATGTTGAGACCGTCGTATAGGAAGAAGAAGATTAAGGAGATGGGGATAACGGAAGATGAATGGTATGCAAAGCAGTTTGAGATTAGAGGTGATAAACCACCGCCTTTAGAAACATCGTGGGCTGGTCCGATGGTTCTTAGGCAAATTCCACCGCGTGATTGGCCTCCGAGAGGTTGGGAAGTCGATAGGAAGGAGCTGGAGTTTATTAGGGAAGCTCATAAGTTAATGGCTGAAAGGGTTTGGCTTGAGGATTTGGATAAAGATTTGAGAACTGGTGAAGATGCTGCTGTTGATAAGATGTGTTTGGAGAGGTTTAAGGTTTTCTTGAAACAATACAATGAATGGGTTGAAGCTAATAAAGATAGGTTGGAGGAAGAATCTTACAAGGTTCGTTTTTTTTTTTAAGCTTTTTGCTTAGCTTCATTGTTAGGTCTTGCTGAGTGGTTTGAAAAATGAGACATTGTTAGCTTAATGGCTAAGAGAAGGATTCTAATCAAGGTGATGTTTTGTTTATCCAGTATGATCAGGATTTTTATCCGGGTAGAAGGAAAAGAGGGAAGGATTACGAAGACGGGATGGTAAACATTATACTACTGGTTTTGATTGTTTGCTATGTGATGAACTGTTTTGAAGTTAACTGCTTTATTTTTTTTTATGCAGTATGAGCTTCCCTTTTACTATCCAGGGATGGTAAGAATCCTACTCGTTGGCCTTGTTTATTGTAACTAATGATTGTTTAGATGATTGGTTATATGAGCTATATTGTAATGTCCATGCAGATTTGTGAAGGCACAGTTACCACTTTACATCTGTATCAGGGTGCATTTGTTGACATTGGAGGTGTTCATGAAGGGTATGTCTGTGTCTCATTACTTTGTAAAGTTAGTTAAAACTTACCTTGATTGTTGTACTTATATGGTATATAACCTGATCAAATGGTGTCTCTTGTCAATGAATTGAAGTTTCATATGCTCTTTTTTAAAGTTTTAAGTTTATGTGTCTATTGGTTTGCAGATGGGTACCTATAAAAGGTAATGACTGGTTTTGGATCCGGCATTTCATAAAAGTTGGGATGCATGTTATCGTTGAGATCACGGTAATTTTAAGGCACACTAATAAATCTGAATGGAAAAATTTTTCACATTAATAAAATCTGAATGGAAAAATTTTCATTCTCGTGTTTTTTTTTTTAATTTGTTCTTTCAGGCAAAAAGAGATCCATACCGGTTTCGGTTTCCGTTAGAGTTGCGCTTCGTGCATCCTAATATAGATCACATGATGTGTGTAACTCACATGTCTTTCTTTCCCTTTTCATATCCAGTAAAATTTGACATTGGTTCTGTCCTCAAATGGTCTTGGTTATTGTATGTGTGTTGACTGTTTTTACATTCCTCCTCCAGCTTTAATAAATTTGACTTCCCACCAATATTCCATCGCGATGGGGATACTAATCCAGATGAGATACGGGTTAGTAGAATCCTTTCCTAGAATGTCAATTTATTTCTTGTTCTCTTGAAGTCTCTCCCTCTTATCTAATACATTGTTTGTACAGCGAGATTGTGGAAGACCTCCTGAACCTAGAAAAGATCCAGGATCAAAGCCAGAGGAGGAAGGGCTGCTCTCTGATCACCCGTATGTCGACAAGGTATTTTCCTGAGCAAAAGGGTTGGTTTTGAGTTTTCTGCTTTGTTTACTCATTAGGTTTATTGGCTTTCTAATTTTTGTGAAACCGTCAGCACATTTCTTTCCCGTTTGCAGTTGTGGCAGATACATGTAGCTGAGCAAATGATTTTGGGTGATTACGAAGCTAACCCTGCAAAATACGAAGGCAAAAAGCTATCAGAATTATCTGATGATGAAGGCTTTGATGAACAAAAGGATATTGAGTATGGCGAAGCTTATTATAAGAAAACCAAATTGCCAAAAGTGATTCTGGTGAGAGTTTTTCTTCTGGTGTGTTCGTGAACCAGTGTCAAAATTGTCTTAAGCTTCGTGATTAAATGTTCTCTTTCTGGCAGAAAACCAGTGTCAAGGAACTTGACTTAGACGCTGCATTGACCGAGCGCCAGGTTTAAATTCCCAAACTCTTTCACATCTCCAGTTTCCATTAACCCACTGCCTTGGCAAGATTCTCATTTATGTTTATTTATTATCAATTGTTTTCTTCTTCAGTCTTGGTAACTCCGATTATCTTCGTTGTCATAATTACTTTTAGGTTTTGCTCTTTGTAATGCATTTGTGAAATTCGCATCGTTGTATGAATCTTTATACTGACAGTGGTTAAATCTCTCTTATTGTATTCCGCAGCACCATAATAAACTAATGATGGAAGCTAAATCAAGAGGAGAAGGATACAAAATCGACAAGCTAAGACGAAATATAGAGATGGACGAGTATGATTTCTTACACTGGCGCCGATCTTTGGAGGAAAGAGAAGCATTGCTCAGAGATATCAGCTCGTAAGTATAAAAAAGTTAACTTATCAAAGTGATGAAGCATGTTTTTCAAAGAAAGTGTTTAGATGATTAAGATTTATGTTTCAGTCGTCAAGCACTTGGTTTACCATTGGAGGAACCAGGGAGGTATAAGCCAGGAAGCTTCTTTGGGAAAGACCAATACGATCCAACAAGTGCACTATATCAGTATGACTACTGGGGAGAGCCTAAGAACTCAGAGATTAGCAAGCAAGAGAGAATGAAGGATGCACACAACAAATCCATTGTTGGGAAAGGCAATGTGTGGTATGACATGTCTTACGATGATGCCATTAAACAGAAGATAGAGAAAAGAAAAGAAGGGTCTACCTTGGCGAGTCAAGAAGAAGAAATAGAGTCAGAGGAAGAAGAAGACGACGATGATGATGATGATGATTTTGACGATTTTGACTATAGCATTCTGAGTGATGAGAGTAGTATTGGTTACTCCGAACAGCAACCTCTTGTTAACGGTACTCAAGTCTTGACAGACTGATGTTTAAACGAAAGTAAATATAAGAATTTGTTGAGGTTGACTTTCGTTTGTTGTTAATTGAATAAAGCACTTGCTTAATATGATAATTGGCATTATATTAATAGATTTGTTTGTCAAATATATAATGCCCAATTTGTTTGTCAAAAAATGGAACTGATGTTTAAGTTCTAAAAACTAGGAATGGGTATTTTAACCGAACCAAACCAAATCGAACCAACTGAACTCAAACCGATCCAAACCAAATCCAAGCTTACACTCAAACCATTCAGTTATGTTTTTTCTCAACCCAAATGGGTTGGTTCGGTTCGATTTAAAACCGAACCGAACCGATAACCTAATGTGTTTCTTTAATTAATTTATTATTATATTAATAATATTGTAAATAACTAAATATGTAATTCATGATTTATTTGAATTATTCAATTTAAACTTAAATCTTGAACTTGTTGCTTACTTTAATATATTATCAAATTCAAAGTTCAACATCAATGAACCTTTTTTTTTTTTTTTTTCAACATCAATGAACTAAAGAATTTTGTTTTGTTACATTAATTGATTTTATGAACCGAACTAAAATCGAATCGAATTAAAACCAAACTGAACCGAATATAAAATGATCCAAACACAAACCAAACTAAAGTAACTTCGGTTGAGTTTGGCTAGAGTTTTAGAAGATCCGAATAAACCGAACTAAACTGTAACCAAACCAAGCCCGAAGTTAAACCAGAATACCCACCCCTACCAAAAACACAGCTACACATAGTAAAACAATGGGCCATGTGGCATTTCCATTATTGCATACTAGATGATATAGAATATAGATAGATCATAGATGTCCCACGTATCATTAGATATTCGCACTTTTACCGCAGGTGTAGACTGTAGTACATTCAAATCTGTAGTACAACATTTATTCTCCACCCTCCCTTTTTGTTTTCTTTTGCTCAGACGTATCACGTTTCTATTGGATCGTTTACTTTGTTATATTCCTTGTTTCCTCAAAACGTGAGTGCCGACAAAAATAAAAAGAAAAATCTAAATCAAAATGTGAGTTCGACTGAAATGTCTCTTCTAGTAAAAGTAACTAAAAGTCTTGTTTGAAAAATCGCTAGACGCTAGTCGGACGTTCGGTATGGATCTAGTGATTAATCGAAAAATCGGATTAAAATCGGGGATTAGTTTTAGGGTTATTTTGATATTTTTATTGCATTAAACACATAAAACTATATTTTGAGATAAATTTTTATAAGTTTTATTACAAATTTATGATTTTTATTAAAATTTGAACATAAGTTATTGTAAAACATCCCAAACTCCCAATTTAAATGATTGAATAACAAAAATAAAAAATTTATTTATACTTGCAATCTAAAAACAATCGGGATATGTAAAATTAGGCGGAGAGTAATCGGATTAGGCGGGAAGTAATCGGATTAGGCAGAGAGTAATCGGGTAACTTATTTCTTTAGGGGATTAGTCATTAGTCGAGGCGGATAGAGTGGACCTAGCGATTAAGCGGAGAGTAATCGGGTTAAGCGGGGATTTTTAGAACAGAGGCTAAAAGTAAGCACATGCAAAAAAAAAAAAAGAGAGACTATTTCCACTTTTTTTTTCTTTCTCTTTTGATAAAAGGGTATTCAAATTCAAATAAAGAAATATACAAAGCTATGACATGTTTTATTGTTGAATTAGGGTTTGACTAGTTTAAACGCAGCGGTTGCGATTATGGCTGTGGGAGTTTGCGGAAGCGGACAGTTGCGGTTTCAAGAGTTAGTTAGTATTCTGACCAACTAGTTTATCGGTTGAAAACGGATGCGTTTGCGGAAGATTTAAGACTAGTTGATCAGCAGGTACCATAGCGGTTAAACCAAAATTTATCAAAAATAAATGTAATATATAATTGTGAAAAGTATTAGAAACACCAAAAACTATATTTATGAAAAAGTATAAAATTTTTAAACTTGATATATAATTAAAAACCATAAATAATTATTCAAATATTAAAATAAAAAAATTTTATAGTGAGACACAAATAATTATTAAAATTAAATAATGATTTTTTTTTTAGAATTAACATGAATATATAAAGAGAAATTGTTAAAAATGCCTCTTTTTCAATACCCCTTTTCAAAAATGCCCCCTTTGAGAGTCCATTTTTAAGTTTGCCCTCTTTTAATTTTTAATGACTATTTTACCCTTATTTGAAACAAAATTAGGTCCACAAAATACAAAATATTTTTTGGCGGGAAAAGTGATCCCGCAATTTTCTCGCCAAAACGCTTGTAAAAACCTTTAAAAAACCTTGTAAAATTTTCCCGTAAAAATTTTTCCCGCCAAAAAATTTTCCCGCCAAAAAATTTTTTTGCGGGAAAAGTGATTCCGCAATTTTTTTTGCGAAATTTTTTTGGCGGGAAAATTTTTGGCGGGAAAAATTTACAAGGTATTTTAAAGGTTTTTTACAAGGTATTTACAAGTGTTTTGTAAGGTTTTACAATGTATTTTAAAAGGTTTTACAAGGTACTTTTAAGGTTTTATAAGGTATTTATAACTTGTAAAACCTTATAAAAAACTTGTAAAACCTTATAACTTGTAAAAACCTTATAAAATAGCTTGTAAAATCTTATAATATCTTATAAATACCTTGTAAATACGTTGTAAAACCTTTTAAAATACATTGTAAAACCTTATAAATACCTTGTAAAAAACCTTTAAAATACCTTGTAAATTTTTGGCGGGAGAATTTTTCCCGCCAAAAATTTAACGCCAAAAAAATTGCGGAATCACTTTTCCCGCAAAAAAAATTTTTTGGCGGGAAAATTTTTTGGCGGGAAAAAATTTTACGGGAAAATTTTACAAGGTATTTTAAAGGTTTTACAAATTTTTACAAGTGTTTTGGCGGGAAAAATTGGGGGATCACTTTTCCCGCCAAAAAGTATTTTGTATTTTGTGGACCTAATTTTGTTATATTTCCTTATATATTTATGATATCTTTTATTAAAAGAAGGGTAATTTAGTCATTTTGTACATAAAAGGGGTATTTTTAAAAGTGGACATCCATAGGGGGCATTTTTGAAAAGGGGTATTGAAAAAGGGGCATTTTTGTGAGTCTCCCATATATAAAAGGTTTGATAATATATATTTTAATTTATTGATTTTCTTTTTTTAGTTTTTATTCTTTTTTAAACCAACCGTAACCTATGATATGGTGTGGCTACCTTGTGCTTAACACCGTATCATCGTCACAATTGGGATCGATCGATCCACGCCCGCAACGGCAAACGATGAGCTTTTGATATCCAGCGATTTCGAGCGGTCCAAAACGGTATAGAGCGGCTTCTACGATTGGTACCAACCGCTAACAACTGTAATCGACCGCTAACAACCGCTAGACGGATGCTAGCAGAAGAACCAATCAAGCCCTAGTTAAGATAATAGAGCGTTTAGCATGGTTATGCCAATGGAGAAAAATTATGTTCCGGTTCAACCATATAACATTGTTTTCTAAAAACCTCACACTTTTTGTAGCGATGAAGATAGTATATTTGTATGTTTCACGTTTTAGACCATTTTGAATTTTGCATGGTTGGAAGATCACTCGGACCATAATTTCAAACCGTCCTTGCCGTGAAATCTGACAAAAATGCGTCCATTACATATTTAGGAAACGCACCGACGATAAACGCATTACTTACAAACTTTCCTTCATTAATTATCTTGAAACAGTCGGCTCGAAATTTAGCATCACAATTTAATGCGTCAAGAACAAACAAAAGAAAGATGCATTTTTACAAAAACTCTTAAATAAAAATCTATTTAAGAAACAGCCAAAAAAAAAGCAGAACAAACATAAATATATGTTAAAATCATTAGAAATCTAATTAGTTTTCCGAATCCATATTTTATGTTTCGTTGCCTGATAGTGAATTAGTGACTATAGTTGATCAAACGGTGTCAAAGGCACAAAGCGGCCTTAACGTCAAGCCTCCAAGCGAAACCACCACCGTCCATTCTCCACACGTCGCAAGGCACCGTGACGGAGCCTCTCTCACGATTTTGACACGTGTACTGTAGTTTCACTCTGCATGTGAATCCAGGGGACGATAGCATCGGCCTCTCCCTCATCACCAACCGTACGAACACGTGAAAACTATTGCCGCTTATTATCTCCGGTGTGCCTTCTTCCACGGGAATATTCTCCCTAGCCATCTTCCGATACGCGTCATTAGTCCACGTGACTCTCCCTGAACCGTCGGATATGAAACCTGGACACGTGTCTCTCACAAGATTCATCTTCCTTTCTTCATCGGACCTCCCTAAACCGTAACCGTCAATCCAAGCGTCCGTTACACGCTCCACCGTCATACACGACGAAATCACCACCGTCCTCCGCACAACCTCCGGTTTCTGATAAGCCGGCGTGAGCATCTCTCCGCCGTCGCTGAAACTCAGCCATAACGGACCCTGCCGCTTCTGCTTCTCCACCGCCGCCTTCAGATCTATAGGTTTATCCGGTAACAGAGAAAGAGTCACCGCATTAGCGCCGCCGTGAACGACGGGTTTATCCGATGTCCTCCGCCTTGTGCACCTCTTGGCGTTACCACCATTCTCCTTCTGCTGATGACATTTCCTCTTTCTTCTACCAGCTGATCTAAAGGAAACGTCGGAGCTTCCGCCGCCGCTATCTCCGCTGGATACGGGAGTTACTCCGCCGGGGCTGGCCGGTTTAGGAGCGATGGGACGAAATCGAAGCATGATACGATCTGCTTTGGAAAGATCGTACGGTCCAGAGCCAATGGCGTACCTAGCTATGCAACACCCTCCCCTACCGTCCATTTTTCTCTCAATCTATCACTCTTGAGATTTTTGTGTATAGAATGTTTGAGAATTAGCTAAAAAGCTTTACTTGGGCTGAGAAAAACTGAACAGAGATTGGAAGGGTTTTATAACGTCTGTGATCTGGACACGTGTTGCAGTCTACACTGATTGTGATATGGACACGTGTCGTAGCCTGCACGCTTGTGGTTGTACTGTTAGGTCTAGAAGACACTAAATAAGGGTTTGGGTTGCACATGGAAAGTTATTCTCTCTTTTTTTTTTTTTTTTTTTTTGCCTAAGCGCATCTCCAATGGATGCATTATTGGGTTCTCTTTCAAGGTTCTCTTGAAAAAAATGTTGAAAAATAAATCAAAATTATGAATTATAAAGAGAGACAGCTCTCTTGAGAGAAATCTAGAGTAGTATGAGAGACGATGACGTGGCGTGTTCTCAGCCGTCGATTTTTTTTGTCAAAAAAAAAACAAAAAAAGCGTCAAAAAAAAAGAAAGGAAAGAAGCATTTCACGTTTTCATTTCCCGACTGTTTCTCTCTCTTTCTTTGCGAGAGATGGCGATGACAATCGATTGTCTCCGACGATTGAGGTCCAATGCCACGAGTGCCAAACCTAAGGAAGATAGTTTCGCTGATATGATCGATCGGGCACTTGAGAAAGAGTTTCCTGATAATGACCAGAACGAAGGTTCCTCTCTCACTAGATCTTCATTGTTCTGCATTTCTTCAATTTCTTACGTTCCCTGTGGAGCTAGGGTTTTTGTCTTCAGAGATCAGTTTTTCTTTAGGGATTTCAATTTTGTGATAATTGATCCTTCTCTAGGGATTTATCATTGATTAGCTAAGTGGTCTAGACTCTAGACGCTTTGTGCTCACATTTAGTCTATCTAGGTTTATAAATTTCTCAAGGTTAATGGCTTTTACCAATTAATGAATTGTGAACTCTTTCAATATGCTTTTTTTGTGAAATGCTTTTGCAGTTCCTGATCCAGGAAGCTTCAATGATAGTGTTGCTGATTAACAGGTTTGTTGTTGCAAGATTTGATCTTTGTTTGATTGCTCTTACGCAGCACACTACTCAATGTTGTCTTTTCTTTCCATTAAGCTATTTGTTATGCTTATTAGGCTGTTCTAGAGACTGTTGCTCGAGTTAAGCCTAAGAAAAATGAAACCAAGACCAAGGAGGAGAAGTGAGTTTTTTCTGATGCATGCATTGCCCTGTTTGGAGTCGATTTGTGCAAGTAGTGGATGTTATTTAATTTTGTTTCACAGGTTAAAGAAAACTATAACATATGAGTATTTTGTTCTAGATCGTTCTTCAATTTGGATAATGAGAATGGCGTAGAAGATACTCCGAGACTGATAGATAGGAAGGTAAGCTTAAATAGTCTCAAGTCATTTGTGATTTATATGTTGAAAAATGTAAACGTTTGTAAAAGCATTCTCGTAATGTGACTTTGCTGCAATTTTAATCCAAGACAACGTTTTTATAATGTCCAGTCCAAAATCCAATGACCCTGTACTGCAGCTAGATTTAAGGTAAGTATAGCATTCGTAAGATAACTTCTTCGTTCGGTTATATTTTGTTAGTATCTAACTTACTGTTTTTTGTTGGGGGCATCTCTCTTAAAACGGTACATTTGTAGGTTGATATCAGATTTGGTCGTCGTCATTGTTTCTGCTACTTGTGGTGGAATTGCCTTTGCATGTGCTGGTCAACCGGTCCGCACACACTTCCTTTGCAAAGCTTGTAACTTTCAATATTATTTTGTTAGCATTGAGTATCCAGCTTTCCGGCATTGTAGAAACGATTTTGCTAGCTCTTAACTGATCAAACCATGACAGTGTTATTTAATTTCTACACTACTTATATGGCAGGTCATTACTGGGTATCTATTGGCTGGATCTATCATTGGACCGGGCGGGTTAAGCTTTGTTAGTGAAATGGTGCAGGTAGCTTACATCAGCTTTATTATACTTCAAAGTTCATCTTTTGTTGTCTTCATATACGTTTGGAAGTTTTCATGAGTACAAGATTGCCTGGACAAGGACTTGATTTATAATTTTTTGTGTAGCACAGGTTGAAACAGTAGCTCAGTTTGGTGTTATCTTTCTCCTTTTTGCTTTAGGATTAGAATTTTCTGCAGCGAAGGTTTTGCATGTTTCCACTCTCTTATATTTGTCTGGTTTCTTTGTTCGAACCGATTGAACCGAATAACTAATCGTTTCTTTTTTTTTTGCAAATTTATTTTCAAATGTTTGAAATTATTGTATGTTTAATATGTTATGAATTGTAATATTTTTCAGTTTTATGAAATAAAATAATTAAAAAAATAATTTAATTTTTTCCTGAAAACCCTACAAAGAGAACCTACTATTGGACTTTGCAAAACTAAAAAAATTTAATAAAAGCTCTCATCTCATAAATTTGAAAATTTTATTCTTAAAAAAATGGTGAGAGCCCACCATGGACTCTCACCATTGGAGATGCTCTAAGTTATTCTCCCAACTCTAACCATCAATTTTACTGATATGTGAAAAGAATTGTAGATTTCTTTTTTTTGGGTTTTAAATTGTAAATTTCTTATATATATTAGTGTAGGTGAAAAAGAATTTTTGGTTCAAGAGTGATTTTATATAACTCGATTATATATAATTATGTTTTCTTCAAAAAGAACAAAATATATCTAGCATTTGTAACTTAACTAGGTGTCTTAAAAAGTTTTGAAGTAAGACGGCTTCGGTTACATGCAAGTATGTTGTATATATATATATCATTATATTTATATGGATATCAAAGTACTGTACGTTGCAAGAAGAAAAACATATAGCTCTTGTTGAGATTATGTATTTTGGATAAAGTTTTTTGTTTTGTTAGCTTAAAGATTGCGTTTCATTATTTAACTTGGGTGTTTGAAATATTTTACATTTTGTATTTTGGAGGTTTTTTGTTTTTGTTTTTTATACCTATACTTTTTGCAGATTCCGTTTCATTCAATAATTGAAATTACAAAATCTCCGTATTGTAAGAAAATAAATAATTTAATTTAATAAAATATTGGTCACTTTGACCCTTGTTCATACTTGAACTTAATAATCTTGTTTGCCATACTTGAACTTAATAATCTTGTTCATGACAAAATAAAGCTTAATGGCTAATAGTTAATAAATACTTGTTTTGACATGAATTGGTGAGAGAAGCATGTTTCTATATATTTTAAATTATTTTTTATGAAATATTTTTAATTAGTTATATGGATATTTCAAGTTTGAAAGCTGTGTATTTCTAATGAGTAGTGGTCAGAGTTTAGGGGTATACGATTCAAGAAGAAACACAAAAGATGGATGATTTGAAATTTTTTATGTAAATATTTTTTTTTTTTTATGTATAATTATTACAAACATCTTATAAAACAACAACTGATAGACTTTTTCTATGCATAGGTTTAGGTTAAGCTCATCGAATTTTAGGTTCTACGTATTATTTTACTACTAATTAACCCTCATTTCATTGCTTTGTTTTGGAGCAACGTCAAAAAAATGTTAGGCAAAAGCTTAAAAAGAGTATAATTTGGTTAAAATGACAACATCCCTATTATGCACTTGTCAAGATTCTTGGACTTTCATATATATTTTCCAATCACACTATTAAAACTAATCCACACTCTATAAATTCAAGAATAACATAGCTTTTTGAGTTTTTATTTTGTAATTTGGCAATCAAGTGTACTACAACCATATAGTGGATCACTGGTCAGTAATTAGTTCCAACGTTTGCATATTAATCTCCACTCACGAAACGATACAATAATTAAGTGATGCCAAAATCAGGTTAAAACACAAGAAAAATGGGTTTATACGCACGAGTCACGACCCAAAAGATGAGGAGCGATCGATTATAATTATAATCATTGACCAAGTCTAAATTTAAAGCGAATAGCATCTTTAACTAAATTTAAAGTGATTGTGACAAATTAGATCTGAAAGGGGACAAGATGATCTCATGCGTAAATGACCTTAAAGATTTAGTGACAATGAAGGTGAGAAAAAGAAAAGATTAGTGCCAATGGAGTTAGGTAATCGTTATTGACATAAAGAAGGAATATTGATTAATCAAATATACTCCTATTACCTTTTTTTTTTTTTGGTCGTTTCTCCTATTACCTATTTTTTGTACATGATTATAATAAGTTTAATCATTTATATTTGGTGTATATGTGTTTCCATAATTAGAGGAATTCTTATGGATGAAATATGGACAAAATTTGGTATACATATTGTACTTGAGCTTCAAGATCTTCTGTTGAGGATATATATATTTAACCAATAATGGATATGATAAATAACATTTATAGTTTGACAAGAAAATGAGTTTGATAGCTATAAGAGACCTGGTCGCTTTTACTGGCATGTTCGATCCTAATTTTTGCAAATGGGAATAAAAAAAATTATAAGCCAGTGGACATATATATGCCAATTAAACAAAAAAGAGTTTGATTGTGTAAGTTTATTTTCTCAAGTGATTGTAATTAGTTTTAATCTTCTTTAGCTTCATATACATATTACTGTCCAAACCATTTTAAAACTCTGATGAGATAAAAGCATTCTTACACATATAGACATTATTCAATCTGTTTGAAGTCTATATTTTTTATTCTATTGGTAACCACATAATGACGTTTTCTAATGCGATTATGCAAAAGATTTGCCAATTAAAAAAGTGTATATTCGCATTAGAAATCGCAAAAAACGCAAAAAAATAACTAGAAGTAAGAATTCATTATGCATATAAGTGGGAATATAGTTGTTTATTTTCATAATGAATTTTTATTTAAATATTAGCAATTAAAAAGGTAAGAAAATAATTGTTTAATTAATATGAAACTTATAATTTGTGGAAGCCCCTTTGGCTCATTGGTTGACTAAGGGTTAATTAATGCTTCTACACCAAGAGATTTGGGGTTCGTGTCCCCAGATATTACGATTTATTAATAAATTTGCAGATTAAAGGAGGCAAGTGTGCATGAGATCTCCAGCGAAGTACAATTATAGCTGTTCGCCAGGATTAAACGCAGAGAGAGAAGTGTCGTCAGGTCGTGGATCATTGAAGGTGTCCGTCAAGAGCATGGAGAAGGAAGTGTCGTCTGTCGTGGATCTAATATGGGTCGGAAGGAATTGTCTGTTGTAAAATCGTCGATGTAACAGTTCTCATAATTTGCAATAAATAATAAATCTAGATGTCAAAAAAAAAAAAAAACTTATAATTTTTCGAATAATATTTGAAAATTTCACAACATTTTAACAATTTTTAATATTTATATATTTTTATTATCAAATATTACTTAAAATTATTAAAAACAGTATTTTGTTTATAAAATATAAGTATATATTGGTGATATAATATTATATTATGACATTGCGTAAAATGTATCCTATCAACATATTTTTTTAAGTAATTTCATTCTGCGATTTTTCATTCTGCAAATTTTTATTTTGAGTTTTATTCTGCAACTTATATTATTATGCGACTATGCAATATATATTACCAATCAGAACTTTTGTTTTACCGTAGAATAAGAAACATCTTACACCTGTAAAATCTGGTTTGCCCAAAGAATCATACAGATCAACTAACGAATTCATTCATCCACCTAAGAAAAGATGTCTCAAGAGTTCAAACCAAAATCATATGCACCAACAGTTATTCTAGAATAATTTGGATGTTATTAGATAGATAATATGATAGAAAATATCATAGAATAATGGAATCATATGAAATTAAATTCATGTAGAAAGAAATAAAACAATTTATTTAACTTCGATGAAATTCCATTTAATCCTTTGGTATATGAATGATAAAATGACTGAATATTAACCACTCAAAATTTACAATTGGTTGGTATTATCTGTTGTCGTTTCATAACTCGGGTTAGAGTCGTCGACGGAAAAATAAAGTTTACTATTCGAGAAAAATGTATGAGTAAAATACAAACAAACAAATATCTTAATATCACTATACAAATTTCGTCATTCTGTGAATTAATGAATAAAATTCAAGAATCTTAAACTTAGACTAGAGTTCTAACCAAACAAATCTAGTAGAAAAATATTTAACGTTAGATTTGGGATAGTGTTCCAAGGTGCGAGGGAATCTAGAAAGTATTACGAGTGGTCCGAGTTGAGCTTTGCATGAGAACACGCATCAGGACACGTACAGACAATTCATTAGCTTATGTTTATAATAATCAGTATATAATTATAAACTGTACTGTATTTGTTTACTTAATCATATTTAATTAACCAAAACCAGTAATTAAGCATAAACTCATCAGTTTTATTTTTTATATGTTTTAAGTACAGCACATGTATCGCTGGAAATGTTTTCACTCTAGAACCAGAATCTTTTTCTCGACTAAGACATCATGTACTCAAATATTCAAATCTAATTTGGTATAAGTCACTATAATATTATGTTAGCATGTTTTCTTAGAAATATCGGGTTTTAGACTTTGTGACTCCGTCCACACTTTGGTTTTCCAATTTTTTTGAAGTATTTGAAATCTTTTTAGTTTGTGAACTACAAACTTGATCGGAACAAAAAAATATATCATTTGGTTTAATATGGCTAGCTAAAATGATACTATTAATTTTTCTTCCAATGGAGTTGTGGAATATAAACATTTGCAATTGTAGTTCAAAACAAAATTAATATCTTTTTTAAAAATATAAATATTTTTGAAAAACCAAAAAATAACATCATTTGGTTTAATATGTGGAATCATCATTTCATTCAAATATGAGACGTGGACCATATATCTTGCATTCAAGATCAAACGTTGCATTGCTTTTTGCTTCCATAAAATACAGTAACAAAAATGCTCACCCTCTTTTAAGTATGCCTCCTCGAACACGTGGCACGTCTCATATAGGTTGCCACCCACAATACCTACACACTTCAAAGATTTGATATTATCATCATCAGATAAGTTTCACAAATCTTATCAGTTCATATAGCGAGATAAAATATGATTGCATCCTATAATTTTGTGTTGATCTTCAGATGAAGACAGTTGTTCTGAGGATCATATATACTATATCCCGCGTCAAGATTAACTTCAAGATAGTTCTGTATTGAAG